GGGGGGGGGGGGGGGGGGGGGGGCAACAGTCAAGGAACTTCAGGGTCTATACCATCTTCCAGATTCTACCGCTGAAGTTTAAGAGATGGTCTGTCAGCATAAGAAACTTCTGATCCTCACCAAGAGGCAGGAAGAAAATAAGCAGGCAGACTGCTGAAAGGAGCATAGGTGGGCACTGAAACCTACCCCACACTGGGAAATAAAACCAAGCTTAAGGATTAGTTCTAAATCCCTTAGTTCTGCATCCTTACTGAACTTTTCATCTGCCCTATAAACTAGAAGATTTTAGGATACAGCCCTATCAACTGTAACAAATTTCACCATGGAATAAGGCCAAACATACTGTTCTTCCTTTAATCTAGTTACATCTTTGTAATGAAGTGCTTACTTTGTTCAGTGGGTTTTCAGCAGCTTCAGAAGGCCCTTCCTTTCCCATTCACTAAAATATACTGAATCATCTCAGAAAGTTTGGAGGGTTGGAACACGGATTACTTTTCAGGGTCCCTATAAAACACATTACTTAATAAACACATCACTTTTGTACTGCTGTATGCTTCCTTATAGCAGTACAAAAAGGGAACAGCCACACATTCAGGATGTCTGTAGCACTACAAAGATCCACCACCAAATTGGCAGATTGATTACAAAAAAAAAAGACCTTTTCAAACAGGAACTTCTTTGTAGGGTTACATTTTGTAACGCTACATGGCATATGTGGACAGTTACATTTCACTTTGGGGGCAACGGGATCTCTTAAAAGCATTCTAAATAAATGACTGGCTAAACGTTACAAAAAAAGGATTAGGAGAGGACAATTTGGTACATACCGAGCATTTCCATCATACCCTGCAAAGATCCACAGTTTGTCACTATACACTGTTGCACCATGAGCTGACCTTGCAACTGGCAATCTACAACAGGAAAATAAAAAACTTACCACCTTGCCTGCCCAGCAGAAGTTATAAACAGTTTGATCGGTAGAGATTTGCACTTCAGGCTAGATATACCCTTACAACATGTATGAACACTCCTAGCATCAAGCAGTTTGGGGGGAAGAAAAGGCTATCTGTTTCTATGTTGCCAAGACAGCATAGATTTATGCAAGGATTCCCTAAAATGCATGCCTCAAGTTTTAGTGAACTGTTGTTGTCTGTTAATAGCAGATCTCCCCACAGTATGTGGTTACAGATCATAGGAAGGAAGGGCTGGAAGAGACCTCATGAGGTCTCGTCCAGCCCCCTGCTCAAGGCAGGATCATTCCTGACTAAAACATCCCAGCCAAGCATCTGTCTGACCTGCTCTTGGAAATTTCACCGGATAGAGATTCTACAACCTCTCCAAGTAGCCTGACCACCCACATAATAAGAAAGTTCTTCCTAATCTCCAACCTCAAGTTTCTCTGCTGCAGGATGATTACATAAAAAGATGTACTATAACAGGTCACAGATAAGAAAACTAAATCCCTTTTCCATCTGTAGATTCTAGATTCCAACTTAATTCTGAAAAACCTAGCAACTCCATAGTAAAGACTGAGCAAACATGGTTTAAGTTTTCCAAGATATTCCAAAACCTGCATGCACATTAAATTGCCTTGAAAACTGCAATGCCTCAGGGGGGCAAGCTGAAAGTGATGGTGCAACTAGGTTTTCTGACGTCCAACACCTGAAGTAAAAAACTTGTTAGTAAAATGGTCCCTTTCCTATATTCTTCGTAGACATCTGAGATCAAGAAGTGCTGGACTTCAGATCCACTGCACCATCCCCAACTTTGATGTTGTGTCTGGCATTCAGTTCCATTCTGTACCAGACATGGGACAGACCCCTGAGGAACCCCACTTAATGCCTCCTCCCAACTAGACATTGAGCCACTGATGATTAGTTGTCAAGCATGATGTATCTATCTTACAGTACTTTCACTTTGTCCATATTTTTTATAGCTTTGTAATAAGACTGTCATGGGACAGTATCAAAAGCCTGGTAACCCACTTTGCTTACAGGCATTAGACACGTATCTGCACAGGCAAAATTTCTTGAATATCATTTTAATACTGCTTCACAAAAAAGGCAGTGGTGTTGTGTTGAAGTAAACACTGAGTACTTGGGGCATGATCAGAACCACTAGTTAATTCTTCAGATATGCACAAAAAAGCCAGGCAGAAGCTGTCAATCTTACGAAATGATGTTTTTCGCTTCTCTCTTTGGAATTCCTGGCAAAATGTCCCCAGATTTGGATAAATAAATCAATCCCACACTTCTATGAGGCGCATCAAATTTCTAGGCATCCCAAGAAAGAACATTGCTTTAAACTAGCTTTAAAGCTAGCAGGGTGCTGCACTTGGGCAGTAGGAACCAGCAGCACACTTATACAATGGGGAACTCCTTACTCGAGAGCACGGAGGCAGAAAGGGATCTTGGAGTCATTATTGACTCCAAGATGAACATGGGCCGACAATGCGAGGTCATGGTTGGCAGGGCTAACCGGACCTTGTCGTGCATCCACAGGTGCATCTCGAGTAGAGCCAAGGAGGTGATCCTCCCCCTCTACGCGACGCTGGTCAGGCCACAGCTGGAGTATTGTGTCCAGTTCTGTGCGCCCCATTTCAAGAGGGATGTGGACAATATGGAGAGGGTCCAGAGGAGGGCCACCCGCATGATCCGGGGACAACAGGGCAGACCCTACAGTGAGAGACTGCGGGACCTGAACCTATTCAGCCTCCACAAGAGAAGGCTAAGGGGGGACCTGGTGACTGTCTATAGACTCACTAGGGGGGACCAGAAGGGTTTGGGGGAGACGCTGTTTCCCCTAGCGCCCGCTGGCATAACAAGGAGTAATGGGCACAAGCTGATGGAGAGGAGGTATAGATTGGACATCCGCAAAAACTACTTCACGGTTAGGGCGGCTAGGAGCTGGAACCAACTTCCAAGGGAAGTGGTGCTGGCCCCTACCCTGGGGGTCTTTAAGAAGAGGCTGGATGCCTACCTGGCTGGACTCGTTTGAGTCCCATTTCTCTTTTTGGGGTTTTTTGTTGTTCTCCCGCCCTGGCGGGGGGTCAGGCTAGAAGATCTACTAGGTCCCTTCCGACCCTTAATCTATGAATCTATGAATCTATGAAAACATGGATTTTAGAACACTTTAAAAATGCAGCCTTTAATAAGGAATCCTTACGGTTAAGCTATAGTGGAGCTGACCCTACTTGCTCACAGGCACAGGGGCTCATCACTGCTGCTACTGGTCCCATAGATCCAGCTTAACAGGAGTCCCCACTGTCCAGATTCAGCCCAGGGTGAATTTAAAACCCCTGGTCTAATCAACTTTAAGAGGTCAGGCATCTTCATGACACCCCTACTGGAGAAAAAGCAGATTTATGGGGGAAGAACAACACACAAATCTTATTTGCCTCACTATCACAGAAGTGAAATACATGAAATAACTTTGAGAAACTTTCCAATATAACCCACTGAAAGAAAGTGGAAAGACTTGAGCAAGTAACAAAAGGTTATAATGGAAAATGTTTTGCAACTTGAGAGGTAGTACTTCCTAGTACCTATCACTGTAACTACCTGTGGAACTGCCCATGCACCTTTCAAAAGTAGAGACTGAAAGGTACTTCTTACCTTCCTTCCGTCTTCCACTCTGTCCATTGGCCAGTTGCAAACTTATACTCAAAGAGATCATTTTTATTCTTCAAATTGGAGTTGGAGTAAATGTCTCCAGTGTAGCCACCTAGATAACAACAATGTATTAGACTAAATTAGATTATAATAACATATAACACAACAACGTATTACACTAAACAGTCCCTGTTCCCCCGAGCGCCGCAAGGAGTGACCAGGAACAATGGTCACAAGCTGGCGGAGGGAAGGTTTAAGTTGGACATCAGGAGGCGCTACTTCACGGTCAGGGCGGCTAGAGTCTGGAACCAGCTTCCAAGTGAGGTGGTGCAGGCTCCCACCCTGGGGGTTTTTAAGAGGAGGTTGGATGACCACCTTAC